AAAGAACAGCTGGTCAAAGTTGGTTGGAAGGGGAAACTAGCAGGGAAGATAATGAAGCAGCAATGACAGGAGTTTCTGCAGGTACTTCAGGAGGCACAGCAGAAATTCAACCTAAAGAAGAAGAAACATACTGAAAGGAGAATGAGGCAGCCATTGCTGACAAGAGAAGTCAGAGTCAGCAGAAAAGTAAACAAAAAAGATACAATATGGTGAAGATTAATGGGAAGCCAAAGATTTGGGAAGCCTTTAAAAAACAGCAGAGGGCAACTAAAAAATCAATAAGGGGGGAGAAGATGAAATATTACGGTAAGCAAGCTGGTAATATAAAATAAGATTGCAGCAGTTTCTTTTGGAAATACATAAAGGGTAAGAGAGAGGCAAGAGTGGACATCAGACTGCTGGAAAGTGAGGCTGGAGAAGTAGTAATGGGGAATAAAGAAATGGTGGAGGAATTAAATAGGTACTCTGCGTCATACTTCACAATGGAAAACACCAATAGCATACCAGAACTTCAAGAGAGTCAGGGGCAGAGGTGAATATAGTGACCATCACTAAGGAGAAAGTGCTGGCAAAACTGGAAGGTCTGAAGGTGGATAAATCACCCGGACGAGATGGACCACACGCCAGAGTTCTGGAGGATAGCTGAGGAAATTGTACAGGAATTAGTGATGATCCTTCAGGAATCACTAGAGTGAGGAGGGTCCCAGAGGACTGAAAAAAAGCTAATGTAACACCTCTATTTAAGAAGGGAGGGAGGCAGAACACAGGAAACTGCAGACTGGTTAGCCTGACCTTGACCATTGGTAAGATTTTAGAATTTATTATTTATGATGAGATTGCAGAGTACTTTAGACCTTTACTTATAATCTCTTAAAAGAACTTGTTGCTGGGCGGCAATTGAGATCCAATACATTCCCCCAGGTGAGACAGAGAAATACCTGGATACGCAAGTAGATCCATGGGCAGGTGTTGAGGAGATGAAATAGGAATGTAAACTTAAGATCTGGGTGATGAACCTTGATTCAGCTGCCCTACGCCCAAGAAAAAGGTCAAGATTTTAAAAAGTTTTATAATACCAAGGCTTTATTATCATCTGGTTTTAATTGAAGCATTGCAGAACATCTTACAGAAATTGATCTGTATTATACAAGGTTTTATTAAAGAAATTTTACACCTGCCGCATTATACATCTGATGGTATTTTATATGTTAGAAGTAGAGATGGAGGACTAGGGATCCCCAAAATACAGGTGCAGATACGAGTGGCTGTAATTAGGAAATGCTAAGCCCTTGAATCCTCTACAGATAAGGTTATCTGAGCTTTCTTTCACTATTGCTGGTCGAACAATGTTGAGACTACAAGAACATGTTCAGAATGAGGATTCTTCAAAAGATTAAATCTTTTGGAGATCAGAAAATCCAATCAAGCAGTAGAACAGAAAAATGAGGAGGAGCTTTATGTATGAGCAATATTAATTATAAAACCTGAAAGGAATTGGAACTATCGAAATGGATTAACCCCCAAAGTCAGGGGCTTGGCATTAGATACCTTAAAAATGATAAAATATCAAATTTGTGAATCAAGGCATCTTATGACATCAAATTATCTAAGCTCATTTAACAGTCTATTACTGCAACATAACCTCTCTCCCACTATATACAACTTTGACGTATGGAAAAACCCTTTTAAATAAAGAGTGAAATAAGAAACCAGCTCGGCGAGCCAACCAACCTCAACAACCTCAAAAACCACAACCCAAGCTACAAATCTACTCCAAAACCTTAGACCCCATATGAGATGTTATCCCATATTTCTGGTTCATGTCCCTTTGTTAAGAACAATAGAATCAAGTGAGATTATGGACAAACTATGCTTATAAGTGGGCAAATATGGATGGATTACTTGCATAGAACCCCGTTTGAGAGACAGAGATGGAAAATTGTGGAAACCTGATTTAATATTTAAGAAAGGTTCGAGAACGGTTGTGTCAATGTAACGATCCATTTTGAAAATGAAGACAATTCAATAGAGAAATCCTGGACTGAGAAAGCTGATAAATATAAACACCTTAATGAAGAAATGATCAATTTAACATTCGGAACAGAGCTTTCTTTTTTTCAGGCTTGTCATGGGTGCTCTAATGGGCTGAGTCAAACAATAAACTTATAAGTTACGCATTCAAAAATACCTGTCCTTTGCCCAAGAAATATCAAGACTCTCAATCGCTTACTTTCGAAATGCTGCAGATTTTTAGCTATGACTAAAAGTCTTTATCTATGCAGTAGAACTTTTATGATGTTCTTAGGATATTATTTTAAGGTTGGATATTTTATAATTTTAATATTTTTAGTTGTTTAGCATTTCAGGGCATATTAGTGTTTTAAGATTAGTGTTAAGATATTTTCATAATCTCAAGTACATTTTAATATTTTAGATCTGGTGGTGGTGGGTCCTGTTAGGTGTTAATTATTAAATCTCATCAACTACACACCAGATGATGTCAATATTAATGGTCTATAACTAAACGAATGGTGCTACCCAGCTCTGTAGTTCCATCTGTCCTAGCTTGATAAGCTCCTTCAGGCCTGTTATGCCCCTACCCATCTCTATACTACCTAGCTGTGACAGCTATATAGAGGTGACGCATAGATTGATGAACAACGTTAAAACTTGAAAGAGACACCATACCTATTGTTAGTGTATTAAATTAACAGGCAGTTAGGAAGGCAAATGCATTCACTTTGATAGGGCTACAATACAAGAGCAGGGATGCACTGCTAAGGTTGTATAAGGGCTCTGGTCAGACTGCATTTGGAATATCGTGAGGAGTTTTAGGCCCCTTATCTAAGGAAGGATGTGCTGGCCTTGTTCGGTGTCCAGAGGAGGTTCACAAGAATGATCCTGGGCATGAATGGCTGGTCATACGAGGAGTGGTTGAGGACTCTGGGTCTGTAGAGTCATATAGCACGTAAACAGACCCTTCAGTCAAACTTGTCCATGCCGACCAAGTTTCCCAAAATAAACTGGTCCCACTTGCCTGAGTTTGGCCCATATCCCTCTAAACCTTTCCAACTCATGTTCCAATCCAAATGGCTTTTAAAAGTTGTAACTTTACCTGCATCTACCACTTCCTCTGACAGTTCATTCCACAGGAGAGGCAATAGCCCAGTGGTATTATTGCTGAGCTGTTAATCCAGAGACCCAGATAACGTTCTGGGGACCTGGGTTCAAATTCTAGTGGAATTTAAATTCAATAAAGTATCTGGAATTAAGAATCTAGTGATCATGACTCCATTGTCGATAGTTGGGAAAAACCCACCTGGTTCACTAGTGTCCTTCAGGGAAGGAAACTGCCGTCCTGACCTGGTCTGGCCTACATGTGACTCCAAGTCCACGGCAAAGTGGTTGACTCTGAACTGCCCTCTGGGCAATTAGGGATGGATAATAAATGCTGCCTAGCCAGCGACGTCCTCGTGAATAAAAAAAAACTAGCCACCCTTTGTGTGAAAAAGTTGCCCTTGAAATCACCTTACAAATGTGCCCCTTAGTTTTGAACTCCCCCACCCTAGGGAAAAGACCTTTGCTATTCGTCTTATCTATACCCTTCATGATTTTATAAACCATTACAAGATCAATCCTCAACTCCCTATGCGTCAGTGAAAAAAGTCCAAGCCTATCCTTATAACTCAAAACACTCCAGTCCTGGCAACATCCTGGTAAATCTTTTCTGAACCCTCTCTAATTTAATAACATTATTCCAATAGCAGGGTGACCAGAACTGTACACATTACTCCAAAAGTGGCCTCACCAATGTCCTGTACAACCTTAACATGACATTCCCCTTTCAATATTCAATGGTCTGAGCAATAACGGCAAGTGTGCTAAATGCCTTCTTAACCACCATGTCTACTTGTGATGCAATTACCTGAACCCCTAGGTCTTTCTGCTTGACAACTCTACGCAGGGGTCTACCATTAATTGTGTAAGTCCTGCTCTTATTTGTTTCATCAAAATGCAATACCTTGCATTTATCCAAGTTAAACTCCATCTGCCACTCCTCAGCCCATTGGCCCAATTGATCAAGAGCTCTTTGTCATCTCAGGTAACCTTCTTCACTGTTGACTATACCACAAATTTTGGTGTTATCCACAAAGTTATTAACCATGCCTCCTAAGTGCTCACCCAAATCGTTTATATAAATGACAAACAAAAGTGGATCCAGCACCAATCCTGTGCTTGGAGTTTAGATGGATTTGGTAGGGGGGGCTCACTGAAACTTAAAGGATACCGAGAGGTCTGGACAGAGTGGACGTGGAGAAAATGTTTCCACTCAAGATGCTAGGACCTGAGGCACAGCCTCAGAGAGAAGGGTCAACCCTTTCAGAACTGAGATGAGGAGGAATTTCTTCAGCCAGAATCTGTGAAAACCATTGCCACGGAAAGCTGTAGAGGTCAAACCACTGACTGTCTTTAAGGCAGAGATAGATAGGCTTTGATTAGTAAGGGGATCAAAGGTTACTGAAGACGGCAAGAGAATGGGGTTGAGAAACCTTAGCTATGACCAAATGTCGGAATGGACTCAATGGGGTAAATGCCTAATTCCGCTCCTATAACTTATGTTTTAACATAGAAAAATGCTTCAGAGATGGAAAAAGATAATGTGATGCTTTGTATGGGATCACTGACACAATGCAGAGGGCAGGCACTTTCTCAGAGTGACGTGTTGAGGAGGACAGAAAAACACCATCAGCTGATAAGTCATACCAAGATGCTTACCCACACTTCATTGTAGCTGCATGAGGGAAGGTGCATCATCAGAATGATAAAAACAAAGGATGGAACAGAATAGAAATATCCTTGAATGCAGAAAATTTGATTGAAATAACTAAAGGAAACCACTATTTTAAAATACATTTAAACATATTTTCAGCTTAAATGAATGAATTATCAACATATGGGTCAACAATGTCATAGTAGAATAAGACAAGGAACATAAATGATTTTAAACTTACAATCATTCTTTTTTTCAATTTACAGCTGAGTTAATATTAAACAATGGGCAGTTTACAGCATTTAGTTACCAATTTTATTGAAAAACGTTGAGGGGAGAATGTATATGGTGAAGGCTTTTTTCTGATGAGACATCTAAAATACCTAAAACCTAACTTAAAAACAACAACAAAATTCTGGAGAACCTGATTTTGGGAGCATGCAATTGAGTAACTATTCAAATACTGTGCAGTCAAAGATCTAACCCTTCTGAAAGTGGAAGGGAGCTGTCACTTATTACTATAATAGAATCTTCATTATCACTGAGCTGCTTAGGATTCTGTACAGCACTCAGTTCAAGTCTTGGCAGAACAGCACTGCTTTTGCTAAAAGTTTCTCTTTGCTTATGTGTTAGTTGAGTTTGCTCAGTTTTCTCAACATCAAAACTGCTGACCACTTTGAGTTGAGTATGGCCAGTAGCTACCTTGGTGTCATCTATTCTATTAATGGCAGCTCTGGATTTGGTCTGCTGAGCCCATGCTTGACTCTGATTTGAAATGGAGGGTGTCATCACAATATTATTTATAGCTTTGAATTTGAAGCCACATTTTTGTATTATTCTCGTATTCTCAATATCACTATCTTCACTGGACGACGACATTTTGCGACAAACACTTTTCTTCTGAAATGTTGAGATAGTTCCATTCTTATGTTTCATTCTGTGTGGTTTCACAGTTTTACTTTTCTTCAGTCTCAATGAGCTACTATCTGTCTTTGAAGCTCGGTGTGAATACATAGCTGGATCACTCGTTCCAAAAACCTGCTCTCTTGAACATGTTAAATTTTGATTTTCTACTGCAGTTAATAGCCTGACATGTTGAATTGTAGTTGGGTCAGAAATGTAAATTTCTTTTTTCTCTTGCTGAATGCATTGAGTTTCTGATAAGTCACAACCACTGAATCTCTCTTTATTGGAAAACGTTGATTCATTTGTAAGTTTTCCTTGAAATGGTGCATCATTTTTATAATTAAAAGAATATGGCAGGGTTCCACTAGAATTAGGATCCGATCGATGCAGAGATAAAAACTGATGAGAGTTTTTCAATAGAATTCGATCCTTTAAAGATAGATGATAAAGATCAGGCAGCATAGATGCATCTTTCTTACATAATTCTGCCACATTCTTTCGAAGTAGATCCTGCTTCAGCACTGCAGCATTTTCTTTCCATGTTTTGTCTTCTTTTAGTTTACTGCTATAGTCTGCAGGAACACAGGACTTCTCATTAATTACTGGATGAACTTGCTCAGAAGTTTCTGCTGGAGTTATCGGAGTACGGTCCGATCGTGGTGTACTGAATGACTGAGTCCAATCAATGCCACTCAAATCCAACTCTGCAACTATCATAGATGCAGAAGGGGATAAGGCACTGGTACCATGCTCATTTTCTAATTCTTTAAGAGATAAAGACTCACTGTCAGATTTTATTATTTCTGCAGTGTGTTTAACGTCAGGTTGTGTAATTTCATTAGATTTTTCACAGAATTCTTGGCATTCTTGAGATCCTTCAGTACAAAAGCTAAGGGAAGGACTATGTTGATGGGTATTGGAGCGATTCATCTCTTGACTTGCACTTTTTTGAACAGGTTCACTTCCTGTTGCAATTCCAGAACCATGGGAAGATTGTAAATTCATTTCAGCCAGTAGATGTGTGATTTCATCAGGCAAAGGAGCTACCCTTTCTTTTCTCTTGCTTTTACCTGAAAAAAGAACACAAGTTAACCAATAACTAAGTTAAAAGTCTTACTCAGCTGCTATTTTAAATAAGATTTTTGCAAACATCATATGAAAATATATTTAGCTGTTCTCAATTCATTATTTTACTCCCGACATTGAATATTGAGCACTTAATTCAAACAGCAAATGTATTGAGGGATGGTGAAAAAGAGTAGCACAATTGCCTGGAAGGATGTAAGACCATAAGGAATAAGTACAGGAGAGCCTGATGCGCCATTCAATAGAATTACGGCTGATCTGACATTTATCATCTGATATTCCTGCCTTTTCCCTGTAACTCTATTTCCTTTCTGATTAAGAATCCATCTATCTCAGCCTTTAGGCACAAGAACTCTGACACCCCTCCGTAGCTCTCTGTGGCAACAAGTTCCAAAGACTCAACCCGCTGACAGAAGAAATTCTTCCTCAGCTCAGTCTTAAATTGGTGCTCCTCAATTCTGAGACTATGCCCTCTGGTCCTAGACTCTCCCATGAGGGGAAACATCCTCTCAGCATTTACCATGTCTTTCATTGAGATCACCTCTCATTCTTCTAAATTCAAATATACAGAGTCCCAACCTGTTTAACTTTTGCTCATAAAACAATTCCTCCATACCAAGGATTAGCCTAGTGAACCTTCTCTGAACAGCCTACGATGAAATGATATGCTTCTTTAAATAAGGGGAGCAAAACTACTCTCAAGACTTTGTATGTGGTCTCACCATCACCTTGTATAGTTGCATCAAGACTTGCCAATTTTTGTAACCCCTTGAAATAAGGGCCAACGTTCCATTAGCCTTCCAGATTTTTTGCTGCACCTGTGTGCTAGCTTTCTATGCTTCATGCATACGAGCCTCCAAGTCTCTTTATGGTGCAAAGAGGATCAAGCAGGATGGTGACTGGAGAGGAGATTAGAGCATCGAGCAGGATGGTGATTGGATAGGGAATTAGAGGATTGAGCGGAAGGTGACTGGACAGTGGATTAGCGTATTAAGCAGGACAGTGACTGGAGAGGGAATTAAAACACTGAGCAGGATACGAGCAGGAATTAGAGGATCGAGCAGGATGGTGACTGGACAGTGGATTAGAGCATTAAGCAGGACGGTGACTGGGGGAGGGGATTACAGCACTCAGCAGAACTGGAGCAGGGGTTAGACAGCACTGAGCAGGGTCTTGGTCAGAACATGAACTGGAGTGGGCAGGTCAGGACCAAATAGAAGAAGTGCTGCAAGTCTTCTGTGGCACCATGCATATGCCTTTAGGTGCAGTGAGCAAAGACTTTCAGTTGTGGGTGAAGTGTGCAGAGAATATTGATTTCAGATGCACAGTTATGACATCAATAGTGCAGACTTTTGTCCCAATGTGGTGGCAGGTGATACACAGCACAGTATAAGGAGTCACCAAACTCTTTGTAAATGAGTACATCAGGGACATCTAGTGGTAAAACACCAGTAACTATAAATCCTTTCTGGCTTAATGTTAATGGAAACCTACATTTAAATTTGTTTTTCTACTTTGTTTCTCTTAAACTCGTAAGTCTTGATCTGAGATGTTAACTCTATTTCTCCTTTTGACAGATATTGACAGAGCTTTTGAGTATTTCCATCATTTTATTTTTACGACATCAAACTGTGCTCTTATATTACTGGCCCTTGTGTCACTAGAAAGTTTCTCAGTTATTTATTCTGTCAAAATTCTTCATGAATATTCCTAATAAATCATTAAGTCATTAATGTACTAAGGACAGCATTCCCAGATTCTCCACGTATTATTTTAATACTGTGCAATCTTTTATTTCACTATACCCAGCCTGATTTACAAACCTGTTGACCAAAATATAGCCATAAACCATGCCAAGCCTTGGGTCTGGGGCCAGGCCCGAGATCAAAACTGCTTTTGAATTTATTCACCTTTATATAATCTTCAAGAGAATGTCCCAATTCGTTTCACCTGAACAGTATGAGCCATAACCAATTACATACGAGGCTAAACAGCCCTGCTATACAATGTACACAGTTATATAGCTTTATAGCATTTCAACACTAGCCCCATCTAACCGGTTAGTATGAGTACAAATGAAGCGACTCAATTTTTAAAATAACACATTAATAGATTTAACACAAAAAAAATCATATTGTAACAGTTCTAGCATTCTTGAAGGCCTTTCACTTTTTTCCTAAAGCTCAATAAACTTGGTTATGTTCAATCTATCAAATGTCACGTGTTGATCGGAATGCCATTTTTCATTTGAAACTCAAAAGTTCCTTAGGCAACAAGCCAAAGAAAGGCCTCTTTTCAATTTTGCAACTTACTTTTTTGCATTTTCTTCTTTTCAGTGTTCTGCCTGTAAAATAAAACAGTCATATCTGGGTATGCTGCCTGAAAGGAAACTTGATCTTCTATGGTTGTCACAGTTTTCTGAGAATCTTCAAATTGATCACTTGAGGTAACATAATGCTCTAGAAACGAAGAAAATAATTTATTAAAATCTACACTACTTGTTGCTCAGTTTATATTTCAAATATAAACTAGCTGTGAAACATTCACTCAGATGCGATAACTGACTATAGCAGAAAACGTGATGATGTTTATTATAAGATAGATGTTCACATTTATTGCCTGTACAATCTGAGCATCCATATCATCAGTCCTTTATAAAAGGGCTGATATTTTGTTCTATTGGCTTCAGTAAAATCAAGGAAAGGATTTGCTGTCACATTATTACCAAAGCAATGAAGATGAAAATTTCTTGACCATAAAGTTGGTAAAATTCTATGAGAAGAATGTACACACGTGAAGCAAAACTATGAGATGTGAACTGCTAAGAAAAATTAGCAAATGATTGGTAAAGAAAGTGTAATATGTAATTTATAAAATGTCCTGAAGTTGAGCTGCCCAGTATGTTTGAGGTTAGAGGAAGAATGCCATTAATGGACTTCAAACTATTCACAATTGACTGGCTGCTTTGATTCAGTCTGATCACTTGCACTTCAGTTCAGATACTGTTTATGCCGGAAGGGGCTGCAATGGCATCTTGAGGGAATCACACTTACAATGGTATTTGTAGCCGATGGATTTTGAGAATTTCCCACCAAATATACTTTTAACTGATGAGATTTGGACATTTCTAATTTGCTTCTCAAGCAAAAGTATAGGCCCAGATTTTCTGTTATTCAAGACAGTAGTTATGCTGACATTGATGGGAGTTGTACATGACAACCCTGCTGAATTCCAGTTGTATCAAACTTAAAAGGAAATGCCTGAGAAACTGAATCGTTTTCTGGGCAATTCCTCTCCGCCTTGAAACCACTGAAAGTCGCATTTAAATCAGAGATTTTGGAGGGCATCAATAATGAAGTAAACTCAAGAATAGTTAGACTATTAAATACAGAATCTAACTCCTTAGTAAGTATTTAACAGAACCCACACTTATCTCATACATTCCCAAACCACATATCTTGAACCGACCCAACCCTCCCTCCCACCCTGCCGGATCTGACCCACCCAGTTTCTCCCAGCACCCTAACCTTCCTTGAAGTTTGCATCACTTATCTTGCCACCTTGCACCCTAACCTCCTACCACCTGGCACCCTACTGACCTACTCTTCTGTCATCCTATCCCTTTACCAGCTGACACCCTACTTATGTGGCACGCTGGCACCCTGCCCCCTTCTCATATGGCATTCTACCCCTGATACCTTACTCCTCCACATCCCCACCCAGCACTGACTTTATGTTGTTCTGGTTTGACTGCAGCTGTCAAAGTGCTTGTCAAGACATTTATATTTCAGAATATGTGAGCAGGGGTATGGATTTCATTCCCCAAACAAGTAGAGTTGCCATAGTCCTCCAGAACCATAGGATTTCTCTCTCATCAGAGACAGAGAAACAGTTGGTGGTGCTTTAACGTGAGGGTCACCATGACTCAGACAAAGGCAGAGGTTGAGGAAGGACCTTCATAGTAATGTCAGCTGCTGCAGGAATTGAACCCATACAGCTGGCGTTAACACATGGGGATGTGATGGCCTAGTGGTAATGTTGCTGAACCATTAATCCAGAGGCCCAGGTAATATTCTGGTGACCTGGGTTCGAATTTTGTCATGGCCTATGATGGATTTGAATTCAATAAAGATCTGGAATTAAGAGTCTAATGATGACCATGTATCCATTGTCAATTGTTGGAAAACCCAGCTGTTTCACTGATGTCCTTTAGGGAAGGAAACTGCCATCCTTACCTGGTCTGGCCTACATGATTCCAGACCCACACTGATGTGGTTGACATTTAACTGCTCTTTGGGCGATTAGGGGTGGGCAATAATTACTGGCCTAGCCAGCGATGCCCTCATCTTGTAAATGAATAAAAATAAAAAACCCTGCATCTCAAACCAGTCATACAGTTCTGCACTTCTGACGGAACTGAGTGGAATCACCTCTCAGAAAATGTTACTTCAGTTACCAGAATATTGTCAGGCTCTGACAGGGCTCATAGTCTTTGCAGTATCTATTCCCTTCTGCTGTTTCTTAATATCACATACAGTGAACTGAATTGGCAGAAGACTGGCATCTGTGATGCTGAGGGCCTCAGATGGATCATCCACTTGGCAGTTCTAACTGAATATTGTTGCAAATGTTTCAACCTTATCTTTCATACTGATGTGCTGGACTCCACCATGATTGAGGATGAGGATATACGTAACCATCCTCTTTCTATTAATTGTTTAATTATCTGCTAGATTTGACAGAACTGTAAATCTTAGGTGTGATCTGTTGGTTGTGGGATTACCTAGCTATGTCAATTGCATGTTGTTTCTGCCATTTGGCATGCTGGTCCTGGTTATAGCTTCACCAGGTTGACACTACATTTTGAGCTATGCCCAATGCTACTCACGACATGCCCACTTACACACTTCAATAGCCAGGATTGATCTCTTGGCTTGAGAGTAATGGTGGAGTGGAGCTCTGCCAGGCCATGAGGTTAAAGACTGTGGTTCAGTATAATTCTGCTAATATTGACGGCTTACAGAACCTCATGGATGCCCAGTTCTGAGTCATAGTCATGCAGCACAGAAACAGACCCTTCGGTCCAACCAGCTTAAAATCTATCGCATTTAGCACAGCAGTAAAGTCACACACCATGAAGGGTATCAACAATACAAAACACAGGAAATAGGGGGAGGAGTAAGCCATTCATCCCCTCAAGCCTGCTTTGCCATTCTGGGTCATGGTTGATTGTCTACCATGATATCTCTTTATGTCATTAGTAATTAGAAATCTATCAATCTCTATCTTGAATT